CCTTCAGATTAGTAGAAGACTCTGCCTCTGACTCTGAGCCACAAACACATTTAGTCCATATTACATCTTGAACAACACGTTATAGATATGTTTTTCATGGTTCTTGGGTCTAAGGTGTCCACTGCCTAAGAGGCCTTTTAAGTGCATTTTCAGAGATGCAAAAAGGGTCAATGTGAGACCACAATTTAAAACAAACATAAAAAGGAAAAAAATCCACATAGAAATTTTTTTTATATGTTAGTGTGCTCGCTTATTTTTGTGCATTGATCGATTAAAGTGTTATTAGCAGATGCAACCTGATTCTGTTGATGATTATACAATTGTTGGTAAATAAATAGCGTGCCACAAAATCCTCTTAAGAAGACAAACGGATCAGAATGTAAAGAACAGATGTGTGTGCTGATCATCATCGACTGCAATGTGAATAAGTGGATAGTAAACCAAGAGAAGAGGGATTAGTGGTTTGGAGACTGCGGCTATATACCTTGATCGGCTGGTCACCAAGTCTTTAGCCGTCTTCGCTCTCATTTCCTGTCAGCTTTCTGTATAATATTGTAAAAATCCAAAGGCATGGCAGCGGTCTGCATAGCGGAGAGCTGCAATGACGAAACTATATGAAGAGAACTGGACAGAAGGACATTATGCAACGTGGAGATCTGAGGTGGCCTTTGCTATTTTTGGTCTCCATCTCTGATCCGGCCTCTTCCTGAATGCCCGGTTGGACGGAGATTTGCTGATGAATGCAGGTTCCTTAAGGTAGCAGATGGTAAGTTCCTGACTCAGCACAAGCTCTTCTTCGTTAGTGATTGTGCACGTTTTGCATCATTACATCTCACAATCATGCAGCTGAGCGAGAGAGGGAATTCAACCCCTGACTCAAACACCTGATCGTTTTGTTGGCTTTCGCTGAATCCGGCGGGAGTGCTTTCAAATTTCAGCAAGTTCTTTGCAAAGTACAATTAAGAGTGAGGGCAGCGTAGGTGGCTGTTAGCAACTAAAACTCAAAATGCAGAAAATCATTTACACCTGTTATGTTTTCCCAGTTTACAGTCGATTAAAGGAGATTTATTCAGTTACAGAAAGGAAAGGAAAACAGTCGAATCATCTTGCATCTTTAGCAAGTTTAAATCAGGGAACATGTTATAGTCCACCTCTAATAGTTAACACCAAATAATGATAATAATTTTGAATCTGCTTCTCTGGCTGCTCGGGAATCAGTGTCACTTCATTTTCTGTCTAGCCACTCCTAAACAATGCAGAACAGCTTGTTATGTAATTGAACGGACCATTGAAAAACAGGATTTTTATAATTATAGTGAGACTATAATTAGTTTATTAAATCTAACCATGCAAGTGTTGATTAGTCTTAATTATTGGTTCAATAAATGCATTTAGCTGCTTAAAGTCTCTGCAGAGCTTTTTCTGTTTTGGACATGAAACAGTTGTTTACTGTGATGATGATATTGCTACACTAGTTCTTCGTACTTTCACGCTTGGTCCCAAAATTTAGCTTCTACCACACTTATTGTCAGGGTTCCTGGGTCGGTGACCCAGTGTTTTCAGTTTTGTCACGTTTAGGTTATGTTGCCACATCAATGTTCTCACTTCCTGCTTTTCCTGTGTCAGTTCGTCTCTTGTGTTATTAACCAGATTATGTTCAGCTGTGTACTCACCGGTCTCTCATTATCATCCTCATCAGTCTGTGTATTTAAGTCCTCTGTTTCCACTCGTTCACTGTCGTGTCATTGATGTTAATGTCGTCTCTCCGTATGTATGTTCAATTCAGTCAGTCAGTCAGTCAGTCAGTCAGCCAGTCAGTCCTTCGTTCCTGCCCTGTTCATCCACGATTCATAATAAACCATCTTCAGTTCTTCACTATCCACGAGTCCTGCATTTGGGTCACTTCCTCGCCTCCACACACGACACTCCTGACACTTATAAACAGACAAAATGACTCTGTTGTTCCAGATCACACTAAACACTTCTATAACCCTACATGGGTTACTTCAAAAAACTACTTATATACCCCCTGGGATAATTATTAGAGGTCAAGTAATAAATAAAATAAATGAATTAGGAAACACTTAATGTGGGAAATTGATCAATAAAACATTCAAGATTAAAATCTTTACTGACATACAAGCAAGCAATGTATGTAAATAAAAACACAGACCTTTGACTTTGGATTCAAAGTCTCACCAAAAATCAAAAATAAAATTCAACTAGTTCCTTCATTTTTTATTTTCAAAAAACTGGCCAACATAAACATAAAAGGCAGTATAAGATAAAAAGTTACAGAGTTTCTTCTGGATTTTAAGCTGTAATATCACGAGACGTTCTGAACTAAGTCAAATACAAGAAAAAAAACATTAAAATTTTACTCTTAGGTTTTAATTGGAATTTAAGGAAAATGAAAACCTGGGTTAACTATTGCCACCATGGTATGTCACATCTAGCACTGCTGCCTCACAGAAACAACATTGTGCCTCATGGCTTTAGCTCCACATGTGAGAAAAAAAATAATCCTTGTGCTCGAAGCAGCACGCAAACATCAGTCCACTGTATGAATGACTGGGAAATTACATGAATGGGCACCTTATTCATACTTTTGTAGCCTGCTTTCTTTGAAAGGTCTGCTTTTACCGCTTTACGTTAACATACAAAATTGTCTCCAGTTGTCAAGACAACAACTTAAAACACAAAGCTCAAGGTTGCAGTTTAGTAACAGCAGCAGTTACAGTCCTGCTTGTTACAATAAACCTGATTTTCTAAGAGTGGCCATACAAGGTTTGATTGATTTGCTGAGTTTTTGAGTCAAACTTGCATTAAATTTTAATACTAAGCTGTACATTTACATTTTCCCCCCTGCTAGAATGATATAGTGTGATATAGGGAACAGCTGTGGGCAAACTGAGTCTGATGCGGAAAAGAAAGCATGGTCATTACACCATCTCATGGACCTTGACCAATCAACTGTTAGAAATCCCACCTTTCCTAATGTCCCTCCTTTTTCAGGAGTCTTACATTAGTTTTAAACTAGATGAACAGCCACAGTGTTACAACCACAGAAGAACTTGTGGTTAATGTCTTAATCAAACTTTTAAGAAGCCTCCGATGGGGCAAAAGAGTTAAAAAGATATTCCTTTATTTCCAAGTGTGAGTGCTGAAATTCATCCCCATCTGTTGTTACACATAAATCTCTGCATTTGGCTGACCTGTGCCTGCCTCCCGTCATCCAGTGCACTGTGTTGGATGGAGTCCAGGAGCTAGTGCATATAATCCCCCAGCATGCACCAAGCGCCCGCGCGTCCGCAGCCAGGTTGTTGTTGCCA